AAAGATTACAAATGCAGCGGAAAAAGATAAAAGCGAGCTGAGCCTGAAGACTTGACTCCTGCAGCGGACGACTCCATTCCACAGGCATCCTTGACGGCAGCGACGAAACCAACCTCTTCGAGACATCTTCAACTGAGAAGGACTTCAACTCTGGTGTGGGGGAAAAGAGAGGAAGACTGAGTACTACCCACTGTACTCAGCAAGTCATACCGGAAGAGGAGGTATGATGCAGGATATAACCAAAAGAGGTTACGGGGTTCATTTGCATAAAGCAGGCATTTAAAACCAGTAGTTGAAAACAGTAAAAACAGTTGTAGTAATTAAGCAGTATTAACCCGTCACTGTCCAACGCTACACCACGTTGCAACAGGCCCAACCAACCACCTGAACTACACCAGTTCATTAAGCTAAACTAGGGGTGAGACTAATCACGGTGAATCTGGTCGATCGCCCATAACCGCGGGCACGACTATTCGAATAGTTTTACTCTGATCAGAGGTGTACAACTGTACCCACAAGACACAACCCCACGACACGTTTCCGTGCGCCGACATGCCACCACGACATACCGGAAAGAGGCCGTGACAGGACCCTTCGCATAACCCCCCTCTAACCGATCGCACCACACCTTAGGGTTCGCCCCCGTCCCCAGCAGGCAACGGGCAGCCCCCCTTTCGTGCCGCAGTGAATCCAGAAGCCGATCAACCGGACACCTCGGCCGACCCAACTCCATCACGCCCACCCTCGCCTGGGTACGTCGGCTAGAGAAAAGCTACACTACAAGCCCAGCCGTTGCCCACGCTGGCTTGTGGTAAGCACGATAAATTCTTCCAGGGTTTCCCGCGAACCGGTCCTTAATCGCCATGGGCACAACTAGCAAAACCATGCACCCACAGCCCACCGTGTAGTGTATTTTAATAAGCCAACACCATTACGGTGGCACTGATCCAAAGCTATTGCCAATAATTAAAGTCTATGCTTTAATGTGATTCCCTTTTTGTGTACTAGTAGAACTAAGCATGGCTAAGCATTTCCCAAACCAACATCTAGTCATTTTAATACCCGAGTTAGCAATGGCATAAGGTAAACAATATATGGCTGAGTAGTAGGACTCATCCCACGTGATATTGTAAAACGATGCAATATTTAATAGAAAAGCGGGACATTTGTAAATTGGGTACAATATGATCAATTATAATGCATGACTTGCCTTGCTCTCGCACTGATGAGACCACAGCAACGTCTTCGAGAAACCGTGGATCGACGAAACGGCCGAAATCTACGCGACAAACAAAGCACACAAGCAAAACAGGCTATAAGACTACTAAAACAGGAAACAAAACCATTTTTAATGGATTCTATGCATTTTTATGAATTTACTGAGACTTGAATGGACTTAAACGGAGCTCGGATGAATTAGTTATGATTTTTAGAAAATTCTCTGTGTTTTTACTATTAAAGAAAAGCCTTAATGTATTTATTGCGCAATATTGCCCCAGGGCTGACGTCAGCAGGGGGCGGCGCCGATATGCGGGCCCCACGGGTCAGCGGCTCAAGAGAGAGAGAGGGAGGGGCGCCGGCACGTGGGCCCCACTGGCAGTGGCACAAGGCGGGAGGGGCGCGGCTGGTGGCTCGGCTCGGCTTCAAAGCCGGCAGGCCAAGCATGGCGAGCGACGGCGGCACGCGCGGTCGCCGGCGACGGCAACTGGCGGCGCGGACGGCGACGGCAGACGGCGCGAAAAGCGGCGGCGGTGGCCGAAGACGATGGTGCGCGCGCGGAGGACGGCGGCGCACACGAGAGAGAGGGAAAGAGGGAGGAGGGGGAGTTTCTCACCGAGATTGGCCGGCGCGAGTGGACACGACGGCGAACGACGACGACAAGCGACGGGAGGACGACGGCGACGGGCAGACGATCTCCGGGACCTTCTAGGGAACAAAATGGGAAGGATTAGAGGGAGAGGGGTGGTCTACGGCGGGCGGAAACCATGGCCGAAGGCGGCGGCAATGGTGGTACTCACCGGCGCGCGGGGAGAAGCGGGCCCCGACGGTGGATTTGGCCGGGCGGATGGTGGACGCGACGGCTCATGGGATGGTGAATGCGGCGGCGTCGACGGTGAGGCTCGGCGCGGCGGCTAGCGACGGCTAGCGGCAGCCGGAGCGCGGCAGGAGGGCGGCGGCGAGTGTAGCGGCGAGTGTAGCGGCGCGGGAGCGATAGAGGGCACGAGAGGGAGCGGTGGAAAGAGGAAAAAGGTGGAAGGGAGTGCGGGGAAGCTTTATTGGGGCTCGGGAGTGGCGGACGTGGCCGGGGTGCTCCCGATTTCGCCGGCTACGTGGGAGGTGGAGAGAGAGAGGGAGGGGGGATTCAAACCGTACCCCGCCCTTGCGGGGCACGCGCGAGAGCGGGAGGAGCGGAGAGGGGGCGACGACGTGGGCGCGGCACGGAGTGGGGAGGAGTGGGCGCGGGAAGGACGGGAAACGGCAGCAGCGCGCGCGGTTTCGGCGGTTGCCGGCGTGGGCGGATGGAGGAAGAGGAAAGGACTGACAGGTGGGCCCCACCTGTCAGCGCCCGAGAGGGAGAGGGAGGCCGGGTGAACTTCGGGAGTGGGAGGGAGGAGCGGGCCGGCGCGGGAAGAAATGGGCCGGCGGCCCAAGAAAAGGAAAAAGGAGGGAAAAGAAAAGATAAAAAGGAAAAAGGATTTTCCTAGGAATTTAATATTGCACTTTGCTTATTTTAATTGGTTAAAATTATTTCCAAGGCTCTAAAAATTCCACTAAAAATCCTGTTAGCATATTTTGACATGTAGAATCCAAGAAAAATTTCACATGCCGATTCCGATGATTATTTGCATTTATTAATTAAGGATTCAACTCTAGGTTAATTCAACAATTTATTTAGGCGATTTATTTAACAAATTTTAAAGCTAAAAAGGAGAACTTCAGGGCGTGACACGTGGTAACCCTCCTGAGGGCATTGTTGAGGTACCCCTGGGCAAGGAGCTCTAGGTAAAAACCTTGTCCAGTTCTTTGGACAGATGACGATGGCGTCTTTCGGCGTCGTGACCCTTATGAGGGCGTCGTTTTAGAGTCTTCTTGTCGTGGTGGTGTTGTTGGTCTGGTGGCGATCGGTCTCGCATAACGATGGCCTGTTCGGTGCTTGGTTTCCCTCTCTGTATCGTGTGTTTGGGCAGTTGGCACATGGTTCGGGGCGTGTGTTATGGTGCACATCCTTACTCGACAACCAGTTGTCGATGTAAAACTTTTCTTGTAACTTTTTCTTCCTATCTTAATTACATTGAATTACCTCCTTTGGTCATACCGGCAAAAAAAAATCACAAAACTTCTCCACAGCTTGCACTCAGCCATTCTTCATATCAACAGCAGCAATCCATGCCTCCGGCTGTCTCTCACGCGCGGTGGTGGTGGTGCTGCTGCCGCTGTGGCGGCCGGCGACGGCGGTGGTGTCCAAGAGGATCCAATCGGGACGCCGCCGGGGTTCCTCCATTGGATTGGATGGAGGCGACGGCGACCTAACCTGATGGCGGCGCTGGTAGCAGCGGGAATGGGTGGCCCAGTTACATTCTTGGGCCGAGCTTCCCGTGCTAATTCAATTAACGCAAGGCACAATTAGTGTAATCTATTGTAAAAGCCAAAAGTTCCATTTTAACTTCTTCAACGAATTCTGGTGCCTAAAAATAATACGAACATGCTGGTGTGTTTTCAAGTTTCAAGAGGTTTAGTGAAATCAGGGATATACTACTGGTTTCTGCCTCTTAGAGTGGGGGTGTGAGTGTGGTGTTATGTATGTAGTGATGTTTACGCGTGTACGCCTACCGTGTAATAAAAAAAATCTATTGATCGAATTTGATATATATACTTTAACCGTAAAATTGGGTATATCATCTCCAACAAACATATAAAAATAGCGCAAAATGATTTCCTCGACTATTTTGGGCATACCTGTGCAAATTGTGTTTTGCAGTTTTAATATTTAAGGGAGATGGTATACCCGATTTTATGGTTAAATAATATACAAACTAAAATTGGCCAATAGTTGATGGAGCCATGATGGACATTTTCCTCGTAAAAAATTATTCACAGTAGGACGATCGTCCAAGTGATAACTGGTAACATTTCCATTTATCATCTTTCATGCAACTGTATACACCAACTAATAGTATAATTTTCTCACCCTCTCAAATTGATTGTAGTCTAATGATTACAAGAGCCTCAGCCTCTGTAACACCTTAGATTATAGATTCGACTCTCCATAGGTGCGAATTTTCCAGGATTTAACAACATTGTGCTTTCAGTGGTAGACGGCGTATCCGTCGACACCGAGGTGGCTATGGTGACTTCGTTAATCTCTAGTATTTGCCGGCCCAGTCTTCGAAGATGCTCATAGGGGTAGGGTATGCGTGCGTGCCTTCATAAGGGTGAGTGTGCGTGTGTTGTGAGTGTCTACGTTTTACTGTGTAATTTTAAAAAATATAATTAGCTACTTAATCACTAGTGAATACCAACTATGTTGTGTTTTAGTCTCTTCAATTATTTTCCTCTTTCCTTTTTGTGGCTGAATGATGGGATATTAGGATCAAGAGCTTACAGCTTATTTGGTAACTTGAGGGAAGATGATTTGGAGTTTACACAAGAGAATTATGGTGAGATTAAGATGAGAATTTAATTTTTAATCCCGATATCTTCTTTGGTAGAGGTGGTGAAAATTGATAGGGAGTTTAGTTGGAGATTAGGTCATTAATGAAAACGAGTGGTTGAGATTTGTTTAGGCAAAGTAAACGAGAAATTCCCTCCCAAGTCCCAATTACTAGCCCCTACCCAGGTATTAAAAAGGAGAGAGTTCATTTATTAATTCCCCATCCCTATCCCACCAAAATTTTCATATCTCCTAACCAAACAAAACAGTTAATAGCCTCATCCCTGCAAACTTCCAATCCCTTATTAGAAACTCCCCTCAACCAAACCGGCCATTAGTGAAAGCGACCGAAGAAGGAGATGACGTTGTTGTAGACGAGGTCACGGTGAGCCGGTTGCCATCGTGGCCGTGGCTGCGGCCTCGTCGAGGAGGAGGGCGACGTACGTCGGCGCCTCGGCGGGGCCGCCGGCCGTAGATGAGGAAGAGAGGGAACCAAGCCGGGATCGCCGCCATGTCGTACGCCATCTCTCATCGCTGCGTCCAATTAAATCTCAGCGCCCGCATCCACCGCATCCATCGTATCCACCGCCGTCGCCTTCCATCCTCCCCGCCATCGCCGTCCCCCCACCACGTCGCCGACCCAGCGCCGCCATCGCCGTCCTCCCCCACCCAGTCCATTCTTCCCGCACCCCCTCCCTTCACCGCCGCCGGCTGCCGGCTGTCCTCGTCACGCGATCCCGACCGGCGCTTCCTTCACGCACCTCCCACTTTCCCTCTCCCCTTTGGATCTTCCCGTCCTCGCTGGTTCGCCGCCTCCACGCCGCCCGTACACCGATCGCGATCTCTGTCGTCCAGTCCGCCGCCCCTACGCCGGTCACCATCGCCGTCATCACCGCGCCCCTCGATCCGACTCGAACAGAAGCATCGCCATTGCCGAGGCGCCGACGGGACACGAAGATCTCCTCCTCAGCCAACTCACCGGTGACGCTGTCCAGATCGGAACGCCAACCCTCTGTCCGTCGTCCCCATCGCTGTGGGCAGCCCTCCATGCTGCGCATCGCCATGGGTCATCCCTGCCGGCGCCAGGAATATCGCATCCTCCTCACCGGCATCGTAGACGCGAAGATCTCCTCCTCGGGCAACCCACCGTCGCTGTCGTGCGGCCAGCGCTACCTCTGTGGAGTTAGTGGTTGAGTGGCAAGTCCACCGCCGCTGCTCCAAGCCAAACGGCACATTCAACACCTGTGACTCCCACTTCACCGCCACCGCCACGGCGGCGGAGAGAGAAAAACGGAGGCCGCTGGCGCTGGCGCCGATCTCTGGGCGAACTTCCTCGACGTCCTCCTCAGCCGCCGCTGTAACATCCAAGGTCTCCTCCTTTCCCTCTGCCATGTGGAGTAGTGTGAGCAATCTACAGAGTGGCCGCTTAATTAGCAACTGGGATTACGATTTTGAGTGTCCTGATCAATGGCTGGGTTTGGCTTTGGATTTGTTCATGCCAGTGCCTCTCACGGTGGAACAAGGGGCTCCGGTGAAGGATCCATTAATTCGTTATACCAGGGGATGCCGTTGATGGGGCAGAGCGAGGTCCGGATCCTCCATTGGAGAAAAGGATTTTTCGTAAGAGCAGGGTTGTTGGCACTGGCTCTTAGTTATGTGTGCAAAATTTCAGGCCATGCAATCATGATCGAGGAAGGAGGTGAGGAACTTCCACGAGAAGCTGGTTGAAGAAAATTTCTACCTTATTACTGAGGTACATAGCCATACATTGCTATGTCGATCACTATTAGTGAAGGGGATGCTACAAGCACTTTATTTTCTTCTTTGTGGTGAGTTTGATTTGAGCCACCCTGAGAGATTGTAGAAGAACCAAAGTAAAATGGATCATAACAGTTTGGTTGTGATTTTTCTTGCTTAAAATTTTAGACAAATAATTAATGTGGTTATTGTCTTAATATGTACCTTTCATTACCAACTTTGTTGGATAAAGATATATGAAATTCATGAATTTCACTCATGGAGTGAATAATGCATCGCTATTCTAGCCATGACTCTTCCTGAAAAGGCCACCTGTGTACAGTTTGATGCTTATATTATGTTCTATTGTGATATCCAGGCTCACATGCACTATTCTGTACCTACATTATATAACCTGGGAGACAATGCACACTTCCTTGGCTTCATTCATCAGCTCATTTCCTAAGTTACAGAATTAGATATTGTTCCCCCCAATACTTAGTTCAACAAGGGCGTGTACCTGTGCTTCTTCTGAAACTTAACGAATAGCTGCCTCCACTGCTTGAGGTAAAAAAACTCTTAGTTGTTGCTTTTAAAAAAAATCTATGTTGCCATCAATTCTTGCTATCACGGTGAAAGGGCCAGCTAGCAAGAACAGCACTTACATAGATGTATTATACTCAAAATCCTTTCATGATTGTTTGAAAATCATATTCATGGTTATTATTTGACTTGATTCTTATTTTCATGGTTTTAAACACAGGCACTAAAATCAGCTTGGAGGAATGGGATATAAGCAGGAGTTTATGTATCCAAAATATTTAATCAGACTCTACAATATGCTGTAAATTTGAGCTGGTCTGCCTCTGTTCATGGGTTAAAAGTCATGGATGCTGGTGTTAGCCCAGACGAAATAGCATCATTGCGCTCTACTGTATTAGGATTTTCCGTTGAATCCTGGATTTGCTATTTTGTTTTGCCTCCCTCAAACAATTGTTTCTGATGTTATGATCTGATATATCATAGTTTGAACTTGATACACAGGTATAGTATAAGCTGCAGTGCCAAATTTGGACATCTTCAGGTGTGGGACTTGATAAAGCTTGGAGATCATCTCAGTGAATGGGAGGATGTTGATCCTTGTAGGGTTGGGATCACTGGTGAATCACTTAGAGGTATTGTATATGATGAATTCATGATTGCATCCTTATATTGAAGTAACATATGGACCCTTGTAGAGCGTATAAAATAGTTGTGATAGCATTATAAGATGGATCATTTTTTTAAGTAAAAGAATAAAATTAAATCATTTTGAATGTATCTGAAATCTGAATTTACAACTGAAAAACAAGCTCTTAATGATTCTCTGTACTTGACATTTCCCTGAAACTGAATGATATTTATGTAAATAATATCGACGACAAATCTATTAGGTGTATACAATATGATTGCTCTATTTGAAGATTTGTTCTATTTGTAGGACCCTATCTGTATATCTCCAAAATATGGGAACTACATTATTGCAGATACAAATTAGTAATGACCTGACATAATTACATAAATCAAGAGGAAAAACAAGAAAAAAAAGGAATTTCCTTTGTCTTTGACAGATTGCTTTTGTGCATTTAAAAAGATAAGGAACTGTCAAACTAATTCCTTTTTGCTACAGCTTTCAGTAGTGCCTATTAAATCTTATGTGCTTCTAATTAATCTTATACAATATACACAATAAACTAAACTTTCAGCATTTTAAGCACCGTGTTATCAGTTTTCATTTGTAGAATAAGGAGGATCTAAGTCTACATTTAATTATAGTTAGGTATGATGAGACATTGTAAATAAACCTTATAAAATCAATACACGTAGGGGCTTCCCCTAATATTTTATGATAAAAAAATAATTGGTGATATAATCAATATATTTAGTTGGGTGTTGTAAGTACACATGTAGATAGTGATAACAGAAAAGTGTATACCAATCAAAGAACTCTTGTGGGTTCCCGATGACAAAAAAAAAAGGACAGTGTTTAGAAGGAATTCTAAAGCAAAGTTTCACAGCAAGGTGTGTTGAAAATTGAGGAGTTGGTAAAAAATGGAAGAAGACGGGAACATATGTACTATGGTCTATGGGACTTTATGCAATACAACACAAGTTTATATAGTATAGAAAACTTTTAGGGATTGGCTGACCTTTTCTGCTCCATCTGATTGTGAATGAAGAATCACAGTTGCATGCCAAAAATTAAGTGGACAATATGGATATGCATATCTCAAATGTGTGATTCTTCTTTGTAGAGAGAATCATTGCTCTGCATCTGACTCTGCCACTGAACGCTGCTACCCATCTTGTTTGGAGATAAGGCTTAATGTATACTCCCTCCGTCCAAAGAAAGACAAACTGTGGGTTTCTGTGCCAACGTTTGACCGTCCGTTTTATTTGAAAAAATTATGAAAAAAATTAAAAAGATAAGTCACGCATAAAGTATTAATCATATTTTATCATCTAACAACAATGAAAATACTAATTATAAAAAATTTTCATATAAGACGGACAGTCAAACGTTGGCACGGAAACACACGGTTTGCTGTTGGCACGGAAACACACGGTTTGCCTTTTCTTGAGACGAAGGGAGTATGATTTAATCTGCGTTGTGCATGCATCGATGCAAGTTACCTTTAATTAAAATGACAAACCATATTTTAGGTAAAATGCTTGGTCTCGATGTAATATTAACAACCCACTGGCCATGTGTTTGTTAAAACTCTTTAGATATATTTTTAATTTATTTTCTATTGGTTATCTCCCCTTTTTAGCAAATGGGAACATTTCAAGATATTATTAAGACTATTTAAGCAGAAAAATCCGTGATAAAATGAACTTTGTCATCATCATATCTTTTTATATGTGCATTTATTATTATCTTCATCACTTGTGGTCGTTTGATAAAATAGCTCCACATGGTGGCGAACCTTCCGTGCCAATCTGCCAAAAATTGATTATCATGCTCACACATATATTGTCATTACTAAATATCGCCGTAGCGTTAGCATGGGCACATTACTAGTATTAATAGAAGAGGTTTAGTTACGTAGCCAAAGGCTGAAAAAAAAAGAGAGAGAAATGATTGTACACGTCTGCCTGCAAACATGCTTACAAGTTAATCCTCATCATTCCTTGAGGCAACAATCTCGCAATATGCTAGATACGGCTCTGCGTTGGTGAAGGCAGTATTTTATTTTAAGAATCTATTCTATGCTACTGAGTTTATTACAGTTCAACGATTTGCCATTGACATTGTCTCTTTCTAAAATATACCGACGGCTTTATTAATTGTTCTACAATACACCATTGGGATAAGCCTCTTTTCAAAAAATACCCAAAATACCCTTAGAGATATACATGGTTAACAATTAATTTATCTCATTAGAAAGTTTCAAAAAAATATAAAATATTTTATATGGCATCCTTACATAACAGAGAAGTATGTACATCAGTTTCAATTTGTTTTTGGTATTTTTAATTTTTAGAAAAAAATATTTTTGTGTGGTATATCAGAGAGAAATAGCTTACACAAAAGAAAATAGCAAAAAATATCTTATGTTGCATATGAAAGATAATTTAAATTAAAACCAACAACACAAAAATATTTTATATAGCATATAACAAATAAGTTATATTTAAAAAATAGAAATGAAAAAAATTGAAACTTATAGACAAACTTTTATACCTAAGGAGGCCACATAAAAGTTTTATTTTTTCCTTAAAACTTCTAATGATATAAATCAATTGTTATACTTGTATGTCCATAAGGGTATTTTTGCTATTATTGAAAAATAAGCCCAGCCTAATAGTGTATTGTAGAACAATTGATAAAGTCGCCAGTATAATATAGAAAGAGAGAAAGTCAATGGTAAGTTATTAACCTATGATAAATTCAGTGGTATAGAATATGTTCTCTCTTTTTGTTTTTTCCGGTGAAGAAGGGTTGAGAAGAGGCCAAGAGGGGAGGATGACATAGTTATTAACTGTTCTGAAACAAAGGGAGGGAGAGAGAAAGATCGTGGAGCTCTCCACTTCATGCATGGCGAGCTCGGGCAAAGCCATGGCTTCCATATTGTGGAAGCTTGGAAGGTGGATGGATATACTCTCTACGTCACTAAATATTTGACGCCGTTAATTTTTTAAAACATATTTGATTGTTCGTCTTATTTAAAAATTTTAAGTAATTATTAATTATTTTTATATCATTTGATTCATTGTTAAATATATTTTTATATATACATATACTTTTACATATTTCATAAATTTTTTTAATAAGACGAACGGTCAAACATGTTTAAAAAGTTAACGGCGTCAAATATTTAGGGACGGAGGGAGGGAGTATATGCTTACTCATGGGGTGGCGAGGGGAGATGTGCTGGTCGATGGTTTCACTCCTTTGTCTGCTACTTGTTGGATTGAAGTAAAGAGAGACATATGAAGAAGCGGAAGAGAAAACAAGAGGAACTATATGGAGTACTTATTTTTAATTTTTTAATTGTATCAACTCGATGTAATTGTTTAAAATCAATAAAACTCTCTTTACCTTAAAAAAATTGAACAAGCAAAGAAGGTTATTAATTTGAGCAAATACTACAGTAGCTTCCTGACTAGTTAAATTTATCTTGTCTAGTGTTTGTAGCTCAAGATCACTTTGTTTTCAATTTTTATTAAATCTGACAAACTCTTGGCTTTTAAAAATTCTTCAGAATTTGTATTTTTGGATTCTTAAGCAAATGCACTCATGATCCATTCTTTGAATTTGTAAACCCTGCTGACTCCTCCGATATTTCAAAACCAATCTAAGCTCAGATAAATACCAATTTTCCATCAAAAACAAAAACCACACAAATTGGTTTCACAGTAGTTCTATACCACTTCATGGCTAGCGTTGCTTCTTTTGTTTTGTATAAGATATATATAACCAACAACGAATACTCCAGTTAAAAAAAAAATCGAATGCTCCTGGTAACAAACTTATACGGATTGAATGACAAAGTTACATTTTGCTGAGACAAAAGGTGCACCAATCAACTCATACACATCCATCGCGTCCCCTATATTCAATCACCAAACATAGTGTACAACAACCTTTTCCATATCCCCCCAGCAAATCATACATATGGCATGGAACAACAACTTAATTATAAGCAAACAACATACTTAAAACATTCTAGACAAGACTGGCAAGTCTGGCATCATGGAATACAATGACTTCTGACTCCGGAGGCGGACGGACGGTTATCATGCAATGACTTCAGACTTCGCAGGCACAGGTAGCATACATACGCTGTTAACACATAGACAGCCAATCCGAGCTGTATAACATGGTAAAACAAGACAAGTTTCCCCGCAAGGTGTCCAAGCCTGATCCACTTCCGTTTGGGAGACAGTAAGGCAGTCTGATTTTACCGTAGTAATGAAACCATCTAGTTCCACCTCCTGTGGTGAGCGGATTGCCAATACTACCTGTGTTACTGTCAGCTGCAGAATCAGTATTGTGGTCATGGCCACCACCATACAAGCTGCCTTCTTGCCACTCCACATGATCTTCTAAGTGTGTGGTTTGCTTTGTTTCTTTTGTTTGAGTTGTCTCCATTTATGATCAATCTTAACCCTTTTATAGGCCATCATGGTACTGCCTTCTTGTAGAGCAGAAAATGCAATATGGATTGTTAGTATTATAAAATGTTTCAATAGTACTTCCCTGATTTATCTTTTGAAAACTAGTACTTCCCTAATTGACTTGTACTTTAAATTAAGCAACAATATGAAATTATCACATAACAAGAGTTGCTAGGAATTATCTTGATTGATTGGTTGATAAAAAGGCTTCAATAATGCAACATGCAGTTAGGCCGTACGGGGTAGATTTGAATGTGGGACTTAATTATCTTAGTCAAAAGAAAGAATTTGATGTGGACTTATTTTTGAAGTAGGCCTAACAACAGTAATACCGCTTGTTTTACCTGTGGATTGCAAATTAAAAACAGGTATGGGAGCAATCTAATACGTTTTGCACTTTTGTGATATGTCTATTTTACCCAAGTGCGCCTGCTGTGGAACATAGCATGCATGCTTTGAGAAAAAAAAAGTAACACTTCGAAGAAAAAAAATAATGAAAAAATTTTCTGGATAGATGGGTACGTATATCTGCATACACATCCCACTACTGCTGGAGAAAGGGGTATTAGTCCCGGTTGATAACCCCCTATAGTCCCGGTTATGTAACCAGGACCACGAATCCGGGATCATCTTTAGTCCCGGGTGAAATAATCGGGATTACCAGCCGGGACTAAAGATGGAGCCAGGCTAGGTCCGATTGCTAGTTTTTTTTCTTTTTTCATTGTTTTTAACATTGAATATTGATTTCACTCCATCCCTAAATCATCCCCAAATCGTGAAAACCTAAATAGATCATCACATATCACAAAACAAAAGGATATCTCCAAATACATCACAAATTCTAAAAAAATTACATCACAAGTTCTAAAAAAATCATCACAAATACATCACATATTCGCATCACACACAAATCAAATACATCTCAGATCCAGAATCACAAATTCTCAAAAAATCACATATCCATTGCTGCCGCCTCCCGCCTCCCGCCTTCCCTTCGGTAGAGCCATAGGCTGCCGCCTGCCGTGCAGCCCTCCTCGCTGGCCGGCCTCCACGCGGCCACGCCGCCGCCCGCAGTCCGCACCCCCGCCCCCGCCCCCGCCCCCGCCCGACCGCCTGCCCTCCCGGCGCCGGCCTCACTCGCTCGCTCTCGCTCCTCAATCTGCTCTCACCGATAGGAAGAAGGAGATGATAAGTTCGGCTTTAAAGAAAAGGATAAGAGAGAGGAGGAATAGGAAGATGAGGAGTTTGGGGGGATAAGTCCTAGGGATTATATACTATATATGGACTAAAGACTAATTTTTATTCTTGGTTGGTCACACCAACTGGGACTAAAAATCCTTGACCCCCTAACAGCCTCGGACAGAAAATGAACCGAGACTAAAAATCATCTAGGGCTGATAGAGTTTTAAACCGGGAAAAAAAATCATATTTAGTCCCGGTTTCTATTCAAACCGGGACTATTGTGATTTTTGGTCAACCCAGCAAAGATGGTTTCTGTAGTAGTGCATGGTTTCAAATATATCCGTCCCCTATTTTTATGTTAATAGCATACTATCAATGCGTTGAAACGTTTTTTTCTTAAAAAAAAGATCATAACATATATCTTCAAGTACATAAAAATATATTGTCTAATAAATTATCGTAATGCTAATTTTGTTGTCACTTTCTAAGTATATGTTAAGTTGGTCATAGGGACAGATAAAATCTTTTCTCATTGTTCGTGGGTTCCATATGATAGTTGGATGGTGGTGATAACAAAGGGTGTGTTCGGAATCCCCTTTCCCAACTCACCCCTCTCTTTTCCCGCGCTCACGCTTTTCAAACTACTAAACGGTATGCTTTTTGCAAAAAAAAAAGTTTATATACGAAAGTTGCTTAAGAAAATCGTATTGATCCATTTCTTAAAAAAATAGCTAATACTTAATTAATCACGTGCTAATGGACCGCTCCGTTTTTCGTGCGGAGAGTTTAGTTCTAAACTCCCCACCAGCGAACACAGTCAACACCACTACTATCATCTTAGCATTTTTTAAGATAATATAGATGTGCAGTTTCTCTTATCAAATGGACTTTTATGCATTATAAACAGGGTTTTCGAGAAGATGAATAGCTTATTTCTCACCGTTCATGTGCATTATAAATAGGGTTTTGAGAATATGAAAGCTTATTTCTCAAGGGACAGACGCAACTCATATGTATAATATCGTGACGTATCACACATGATTCTAACACTAATGCTCATCCGTGCTGAGTAGTTAGATTAGATGAGCTGAAAATTAAGATTTGTCATATATAGCATACTTTACATAGGTCTTAATTAGTTTACGTGCAGTGTAATACTATGAGCCAATGTTTTTTTACCACGGCAAACTTTGTCGACCACTCCATCGGTCCTAAAATATAAGCACCTTTATACTTTGTCATAGTCTTCGAGATGCTACTTTGAGCAACAATATCTATAAAAGTAAGGTGTTTTAAATTTAAAAGAGTTGCATATTATAATAGTTTGTTTAATGATAAACCTAGTAACATCAATTTTATATTATTGATCTTTTCTATTTTTTTTATTAATGGTCAAAGTTAAAAATGTTTGACTTGATGCTATGCTAAAAATGTTTATATTTTGGGACGAAAGGAGTACATTGTACGTAGCTAGGACAACCTGCCATTTGTAGGTTTTAAAATTAAGACCTATGAGGAGTTAACCTAGGTTTTGTCTGTCCAAGGTTTAGCTTCCTTATTCCCCTTTATTTCTCCTCACCACTACTGTCACTTGATGATATATAGACGTATGTGCTAGCTTAATTTCTTTCTGTCATGTTGCTGGTTTCTAAATCATGATTCTTGCAAGGATACCATAGTTTCACATTGACTACCATAACCAATCATTTGCATTTGTGATAATCTTTGCTGCTTGGAGATTACATTATGGTTGGGAGCTTATCATGAATAATGTCTAGGTAGGAAAGCATGAGGTCATTTTTACGTAGGGAGTTGTTTATATATAGTTGACGAAAACGAAATCTCCGTTAATTTTTAGTTTGTTGTGTCATGTTAATTGATGCATGGTTTCTAAATCATGATTCAGTACTACATAAAACCACTTTGGTGCGGGTTGAAAACCGGCTTTCAATTCGGTGTTAGATTCATAACCAGTACCCGTAAGACGACACTGATGTGGCATTTTACAACTGGCACCTATAACAACATAAATGTGCCTATTGTGAAAAATCGGTACCTCTAGGTTTTTATAGGTACCCTTTTTAACCGCGCGGCCACACGGCAATACTCAAAGGTGACAATTATTGTTGATGATCATTTCCAATGTATGCATGGTTGGTTTTCCTGTCTTTCAGTCATCTATACATTTTATAAAGTTACAACCCACTAAGACTAAAGTTCAACATACAACCATACCACATCATCACCCACTCACAATAATAATTGCATATTTAATCTCATGCAAGTATGCAACATCATATATATAATCTATTTAATTCTATAAATCAACATGCAAACATATTCAATCGTCATCTCTCACATCATTTCCACAATATTTTAATAAATATATCTTTTTTATAATATTTAACTTATATTAATTAGTATGTTCCACATTAAAGCGTGGGTATCATTTGTTTGATTCATGATAATTACTGATAAACTCTAGCGTTTGTTTTTTTTAACTCCTAGCTCGATTATCGAAAAAATATATTGAAAATTGCTTAGAAATTCCCGCAACAAAGTGCAGAGAATCACCTAGTTGTGTCTATAATAGAGACATACAATAGGATAGAATAGATAATGGTATTAACTATTCAAATACATTACACATAAATTAACCTTACATAATTCACACAATAAATTGCTTCAATAATTCACGCATAAACACTAAATTAATACTGTCTTTTCGGTCAAATCTTACTACTTCCTCCGTTTCACAATGTAAGTTATTCTAGCATTTGTCATATTCATAATGATACTAATAAATAAATAAATAAATATATATATATATATATATATATCTAAATTCATTAGTATCAATATGAATGTGAAAAATACTAAAATGACTTACATTGTGAAACGGAGGGAGTAGTTAGTAAGCTATGAGATGACGATTGTATTCTCGGTGAATGCTTGTTGAGGTTGTAAGCGCCAACTAAGTCTAAAACATAATTACGGATGAACTCATAGAGCTTGTTCGTCGTGTAGACGACCTTGTGGCCCATGGTGAGGTTCATGTCGGAACTGTGGACGAAGAAAAAAAAAAGATTGAATATTAGGGAATGACCTAATATCAAATAATTATAAGAGGTGAGACTTCGAACCCAGATCGTTTAGCCCACCACTTTGTGAAGCTAGCCGGAAGGCCCAGAAAATCCCTAGGTGTTTCTCAACTGTGGACGAAGAGGGAGGAGTGACACGTGGGTGCGTGAGGGAAAGGGATACGCTGATGGTGTTCCCGTTCCGGATGGTGTCTCGCGGTGGTGTTGTTGCTGCTATGGCAGTTGGAATGCCGACGTTCCTCTATTGGATTGGATGGAGGCGTCGGCAACAACCTAACCTGATGGCGGCTCCGGTTGCAACGGGGATGGGTGGTGAATCATTTTTCTAGATCCGTCACTGTGGGTGGTCATTCTTGGGCCAAACTTCCCATGACAATACTATAGGAAAAAAAATCCATTGCAGCTCCCTATACTATAAATTTACGACCTTCAACAACAAAACCAACTATAAATATTCACTCAGCTATTATTAAAACCTGATCAATTTAGGTTTCGGTAGTTTTAATTATTGTTTCATGCTACGAGGCGCTTGCTTAGCACTTAGACCTGGTCGTTTATGTATCGCAGCGCCTATGTAACGTTTACATGGCATTCATAGTTTGGAAAAAAAAAATAAAATTAAAATAGGCAGGACCCGCATTGCCACATATAAGTATCTTAGAAAAAATTAAAAAAAATCGATATGGCCCAAATGCCATCTCTCTATATCTTATTCTATTGTAAAATTTTGGTCCCATTTCCATTTATCATCTTTCATGTAACTGTATATCAACTATACTAGTATATATAATTTTCTCAGACCTCCAAATTAATTAGCTACTTAATCACTACTAGTGAATATATGCCAGCTATATTTTGTTTTGATTTATTCAGTTCTTTCCCTTTTTTTAGTGAAATCGACGGAAGAAGGAGATGACGTCGTTGTAGACAAGGTCCTTGGCGCAGACGCCGATGACGAAGTCGGCGTGGGCGAGCTGGGGAAGGTACTGCACGGTGAGCCGGTCGCCGGCGTGGCCGCCGCGGCGGAGGTCGTCGAGGAGGAGGGCGACGTCGGCGGGGTCGGACAGCGAGTCCCGGCCGCCGTAGCTGAGGAAGATGGGGAACCACGCCGGGATCGCCGCCATGTCGTACGCCGGCGGGTCGGCCTGCCCGTACCTGGCCACGTTCGCGTCCGGCATCACGTAGTCGTACTTGGTCAGAACCCCGTCTCTCACCGCTGCATCCAGATAATTAATATCAAATTATCATCAAATTAACATGATTTTGGTTTGGTTAATTAGAGGGTATAAGATGACTGATGAGACTAGAATTTGATTGGTTTACTTTGAGCGAGATGGATCAAGGTTTTTGTGGACGTTGGCTGGGGCTCGTACTTGAGGAAGATGTCGGCTGCTGAATTGTTCAGACAATAGTTTTTTCCTGACATGTTTGCATGGGAGTTAGCATGGAGTGAAATGTAATGTAGAGCAAATTAACTCAGGTAGGTAAAATACTAATCCTTGATTAATTACCAGTGAAAGATGTGAGGAGATCGTAGCAGTTCATCCCGGGCTTACGACAGAACGTTCTAACCAAGTTGGACACTTGAGGCCTGCATTAGACAGAAGTGAATTACCAATATGTCAGCTCCATAGCAACCGGAGACGATTCCAAGCTGTAAAAATGATTTTTATTTGTCTGAAAGGCACGAGAATGCCGGCCATACGATGCTGGGTTGAACTCGGCGATGCCAAGGAGATCAGAGATGAGCTGCAGTTTTGGAACATATAGTTGATCAGAGCAGAGTTCAGTGTAGAAAATAAAATATGTCTGTAAGAACATTGCAATTGCAGCATCTGCATGAAGAACATTGTTTGTTCAGTATGGATTTTTACCTCTCCAGCGAATGCTTTAGCTAACACAACGCCAATGGGAGTGGTAATGTGAGACAGATACGCGACAGGGCTGAGCAGCGCAGCTGATTTCAGCTTGTCAACCATCCTGCCTTCGGAGAAAGCTGCAAGCGCCACCAGCGTCCCCTGCAACAACAACAACAAAAACAGAGTACTACGTTTTCAACCCAACAGATTACAGTAAGATGATGATGATGATGATGATGATGATGAATTCTCCTTTAATTTGCCAGCTTAGTATATACCATTGAATGGCCAACGTAGTGTGGCTTCTGGCCGGTGTGGCTGCAAACGTAGTCAACGATTGCAGGCATGTCGTTGACCACGATGTCGTCCCATGACCAGTTCCAGTAGCTCTGACATGAGAAGAGATGGTCATCAGTTACTTCAGTCTTCAGTGTACATGACCGTGTTGCAATGCAGGGTTGCAGTTAATATCACTACATCCGGTTTAAAATGCTGCTATCTTTATTCCCAAAAAAAAAATTGTTGCTATCTAGGATATGATATAAGATTACTTTGTAGTACAAGTTAGAACATATCTTTTCTGATTAGCAAGCAGTAAAGAGATTCAGAGTGTGATTAATGGTGAAGTAATTACCCGGCTTTTGGGATCGAGTGAGACGTGGCGGCTGCTCCAGCGGGTCCCCCTGTTGTTGGCGATCCAGACGTCGAAGCCCTGGTCGGCCAAGATGTACGGCAGCGACTCCTCCGGCGACCCCAGCAGCCATGTCATGCCATCCTGCCACTCACAAAGATATTTCAGCTCAACAAGATGGAGTGACAGTTTTCGCAGCCTTACATCATTACATGGAGTATTCGATTGAACGATGTAATTGTTGGGCTGCTTATGACACTTTTTGTGTACTATGAAAAAGATTGTTTTTACTTAGATTTGTACGTCCTTTCAACTAATTAACGTGGGACGGTTTTAGCATTAATGTTTTGTCACGAACAATTTATTATATTCCCTGATATTTGGTGTTTAGTACAGGGTTTGGTCAACATTTTGAAATCTTGATCTTCTATAATTAATTTCTCAAATGTTTAATTTAAAATTAGGATAAAGAAGTATGTGTATATTTATCCTGAAAAGTACTATACTAATATCATAAACTTATTAGATTTTATAAATTTATTTTAACATAAATAGATGGTCAAAGTTTTAAAGTTCAACCAAATATTATCTTAAATATTAAATATTTATGACCAAATATAGTAGTGTTTTAGGTGATGCGTATTTTGACAATTTTGAAATTTATGTGCCCATTGTTCATGCATGAAGACACCGGATAAGAGAGACTTCCTCCGTTTCAAAATAAATCAATCTATTGGGATGAGATATAATGTAGTACAATGAAATTTGGGATTTTGGAATAGAGAGAGTAGTGATGTTGATAGCCATACTAATCAATAATCGTACCACACCACAGATGGAGAGTATGTTTTGATTGCAAAATAGTGTAGTACGGAACTGTTATCATTGCTTCTTGTTGAACCATGCATCTTGCTATTATCCATGTTTGATTGTGAGATACTAGGAGTAAATTCTTGCATGAATGTATATTCATTAGTTTGTCATACGTACTATATATCTGACCATACATTTACATCATTACTACTAGTAAACATCATTGTAAATTGTCCTAACGGCTCTCTGACTCCACTTAATTCTCAATCAGACGAAAAAGCAAAGCTAAAGCACTCAAGTCAATCCACTTGTTGGTGGCATATTTCGGAAATATGGTGTGAACGAAACAGAAGAATATTTCAAAATTAAGAGAAAACCATGTCACAACTACTCGTCAAAATACAAGATGAAATCAAGATATGGAGCATGTGTGGAGCGAAAAAACATCACAAGAATATCCGCTTAGCTCTCATTTAGAGTGTGTGTATTTTTTCTATGTTTTCTCCCCCCCCCTCCCCTGTTTCTCTCACCTATCTGGTGACCTTGTAAATATTTTCTCTCCTTCTTAATATAACACCAGCTTAGTCTGGCTTCGGTTTTTTTAAAAAAAAATCTCAATCAGCAGAAAAAAAACTTGTAGCAAGAATTAGATTCGCAAACAACAAATTACCCACCAATTGTGCATATATAATCTGCAAGTTCGATATAACATATATATACTCTATATAATTTGAGATTTTTTTTTTAGAATCTTTAGGAAGGTCTCGAGAGTTATTGCACCATCTAATGTAAATGTTAATACTCCTGATATTTTTTAAATGATGCATCAAGAGATAACACAAATTGACAATATAAAACTGTGATGCGTGCCGTGCTGTACATATTTAAGGACTACTCTCTTCATCCCAAAATTAAAATATCCTAAAATATAACAACTTCTCCACCAATTTTTTCTCAACTAATCATAAATTTTTACAATTTAATTTCTCCATCTGCTTTCTCTTCTCAACCAATCACAATATTTTCTATTTAATTTTACCTATTTTTTAATACCATATCTAACTGGTCTGAAAGATTTTACTCTATCCATATCAAAATATAACAGTATGGTAATGGATGAGGCGTATCCTAGTATAACAAATCTGGACATATAAGTATTCGGATGTAGGAAATTTAGTGCTAGATTGTTATATTTTTGTGACGGAGGGATTATATTTTGGGATATACTCCGTATTACTGCTCGTAGCATGTCTCATGTTTCTAGCTAGCTACAACGGTGTACGGATTTGAGACCCCATGCAAGTGATGGGCTAGCTAAAGTCCATGAGTGCTGCAACTAGTCCGCAGCAGAAGCTAGAAGGAGACAGGAGCACCGAACCATGTGCCATGCATATCTGCAAATTCCATATTGATCGAGACTAACACTGGGATATCATGAAAAGAAGCATCCATGCATATATATTAATTCCTCAAGCTTGTTTAATTCCATTCAAACTTTAATTCAAAGATGCTAAAAATCCTGGACTATCCTGTCCGTACGTTCTCCATCGAACGGATATTGTGAACCCAAACGGAGTTCGGAGAATTCTTCACCGACCCCCCAAAAATCAGGTTTCTTGGACACAGATTCTATTCTACTAACCCAAACTACGAAAAAGCGTACGAACTTGGGTTAAATTTAGACAAAGTTGTCTGTAAAGCTAAGAAAAGCTCGAAAGGTGCAATGAAACAGGGGCGACATGATGAGACGAATACGTGTGCACCGGCATGGCGTGGTGCTAAGCACATGAAAGTATGTGAGATTGGCAAGAAAACGACCACGGATTAGAGAGAATGTTAGGTGCCATGCGTGCGTGATGCGTACCACGAGTACACCGTGCTGCAGTAGCACCGGCTGCCGCGCCGCCGCCGCGCCGCCGCCGGTGACGCCGCCGATGCGTCCCCTCGGGATCCTTTGCAAGCCCAGGATGTAGCCATCCTGCGTCGTCACCTGTCCATGAGAAGAAGAAGAAAACAAAAGAGATTTGACGGTTTTGATTCGTGCGTGCGAACGTTCTGCGTGCGCGCGTTTAAAGGTGTTCGACGAGATTGATTAACCTCGTGCTCTTCGCAGGGGTAGCCGAACGGCGCCACGGCCGTCGCGCACGCGCCGTCGCCGCCGCCGCCGCCGCCGCCGGCGGTGGCAATGTCGCGCCGCCGGAGTTCAGCGTGGTTGATCAGGACGCGCGCCCCGGCGGCGAGCTGCGGGCCGGACAGGAGGACGACGGCGGTGGTGACGACGATCGTCATCGCCGCCGCCGAGATCGAGAAGAAGCCGCGAACGCCGTGACACGCGGTGCTCATGCTGGCGCCCGCCGTGGCGCGCTCTGAGTGCCACTAGCCGCTGCTGCGTCGTGCGCGCGCGCGCACGATCGAGCTCAGTGCTGCGAGCGATCGAGGAGTGGGCGCATGCGTATTTAAAAGTGGTCACTGCTCAGCTAGTGATGTTGTTGCGGTGAGCTGCGCCGTGTGAACGCGGCGACCCCCAGTGCGTGAGATATATTCTTGGCCTTTGCTTTCTTCAGCGTGACACCTTGGCCTGGCTACCTTGCTAGCTAGCAGCTCAGCTCAGTTCTGATCTGGGAATGGGTGTACATGCATGGGCGATACGGTTCATTAGTTCTAACAAAATTCATTCGGCATAACACTGTAATTAACTGCATTACTGCGTGTGTAAAGAATTTGACTTGGTAAATTAATTCTGAGTAATTAATTAATTATAACCGCCATAATGTTCCTGATGCATATGCGTGCTGTCTGTGGCCTGTGAGAGTGTGACACGCATTGTTCAGGGTTCAGAACAATGACACACGGTCAAATGCTATTTAATTACTGTTAGTAGTAACTCGATCTGTTTCTGTGGTGGTTTAATTCTAGTTTTAACTATGTGAAATTCAATTAATTTAAATACTAAGCAATAACTCTTGTTTTTAAGAGTATATATGCTTATGCTTTTATAAGAGTAACAACTCTTCACCATTAGCAGCACTTCCTGAAACCCAGAGCTAAGACTTAATCTTTTGTAGAGAAATCAGATAAAGCCTCATTGTTTCGCTTATTTGTGGAATAAGCCAAACAACATATTTATAAACTAATAGTAATTTATAAATAAAACTTTTACATATATGTTCTTATCGATCTAAAAGTAAAGGCTGAAAATAAACTTCTATGAAAAAAAAGCCAAAGTTAGTTTCAAATTTAAGGTTGAAAATTTAAATTTTGGTTGATAAGCATAAACATAAGCGAAAAGAGGAGGCTTTTAATTAATTTCTGAAATATCCACACTATAATGTTTTCTAGACGAAAGACCTTAGATGATAATGTGTTCACCGAATTGCTGGGAAAGGTATGCCCATGTGTGATGTTTTTATTGAGTTTGGCGTGGTGGACTCTGCTCGTCAGTATCATCATCGATCAGGTCGTCCTCCTGTTTTCTTGGGTTCAGACGCCACCGGGAACGGAGGAGGTGAGAAACAGACATGAATCCATGCAACCCATCAACCCATCTGAATATCTGATCCCTTAGTCTGAATAATTAAAAACACGTTGCATTTCACATTTCCGGATAAACAAACTTACGAACAGTCCAGGTCTAAAACGTTGGATATAAAAGATAATCTTGAACCTGTTTGACATTACTCGAAGATCTAATAAGAATCGACAGTTTTCATATACAAGATGGAAAACAGATATGGAACATCTAGAGAAGCATGTCCCAATGAATTTACCTAAGAATAAGTTGAATATTTCTAGCCTTAAAAATTTATGTAACTTGAAAAACTAGATCCGAAGCTCTATCAAATAGAATCGAGAACTGCTACATATTGCACCCATAATATATAAAAAAAACAAGATTTAGAGGGAGACGTTCTCCAAATATTTTTTTTAAGAAGATAGCGTGTTAGAAATTGAACATAAGACTTTCGGGTTAACTTTTTTGTCATTGCACTATCAAGTGCATCTCATCTTACACCCATTTCATCAGGTGGGGAATGGTGACTCAAAAGTAGGCCAGCAGATACACGTCGATCGAGTACCCCAACTCTATAAGTGCTTGTTTAGTTCCTAACTTTTTCTTCAAACTTCCAACTTTTCCATCCCATCAAAGCTTTCCAACACACATAAATTTTTAACTTTTTTCTTCAAACTTTTAATTTTAATCAAACTTTTAATTTTGGCATGGAACTAAACACGGCCTACGGCCTAAGTACTATAGTATCATGCAGTTGCAGAGAAAACAAGCTATGTGATCTGCACCGCTCTGTAATACTACATTCTCGTCCTGATCCATACAAAGAGCCAAGAAAAATGCATGTCCTACCAATCCAAACTTCTTGTCCTTTTATACAGATCATGACATGAATATGGCACGTACAGAGCGGTGTAGAACATTAGCTAGCAAGCTCCCCTACCCAATAACAAGATAGATATATACGACGAGTACCGTATATGGCCTATCGGTATTGAAAACTCATGCAACGCAGCATGGGCGCTAGTACAGTTTACTCAAGAACTCTGCACTAGTGAACAACTGAACATTTCTCGATCTTTGTCCTTGGAAAAAGGAGAAGTGAACATATGCGCTCAAATGTTCACACCTTCCTGTCTTCCTTAGTGCAGAAGATAGTGGTCCAGTCACTCAATCCTCTTCAGTGCCTAGGTGACACATATCTCAGTGTTTGTTGCCTTTTATTCAGAAAAGAAATCAGTGTATTGATTTTGGGTTTCTGCGGCACTACTGCTTGGGTGCATTATCGTTTAAAGAGTGCAAAACGTGTAATTGCAATGGTTAGTGCATTGTGCATTCTTCATTCTTTTTTTCAGATTAGCTAGCTAGCCAGCCATCATTAGATATCCTCCCACAAAAAGAAAACAATTAGGAGAAACACATCAACAGAGTAGCCTATAAAAGGATTGGTGGTTTTTCCATTACAAAAAGGATTAGTGGTCTGCCAACAGTTGGCAATCTCTAGTTGGCACTAATCAATCCACTACTTCACCTAGTAATTGTTTTCTGTAACCTTCCAATTTTGCATTTGCAAAAAATCAATGCATTTTCTCCTTCTGAACCTCACTGAACTCTTCATTCCGTTTCATTCTTCAGGCAAAAATTCAGACCACCGTCAGAAGAACTGAAGTTTTCGCTTATCTGACATGGATATGGATCGAATCCATTAATCTCAGCCTCGAACCCTAGATGTCCACGCGTGTAGCTATGAGCCTAGGATCATGCAAGCATTTGCATCATCGATCAGATCCACATCATGTATCTATCTAGCAGAGATCGATCCCTCCAAGCAGTTGATGAGTGCACGCACGCATTTGCTGCATATATCACTCAATTATTGATCAAGCCCATCAGTTCTGTTCTAAGCGAGCTAGCACAAGGAAAGAAAAGGAAGAAAGAAAGAATGGTCCTATGTTTGACTTATCCTGCGATGGCGATGAGATGAACTGATGAAGCAAGCAAGGCAGCAACAGAAGCGAGAATAAAGGCGAGATTCTTGGAGAAGATGAGGTGAGAATTGAGATGAGAGCATCGCTAGCTGGTCTCCTCCCTTTTGACATTGGAGCAGCAGCAGCAGTTCAGTGCTAATACTGTCCAGTGTCCACACGAACACTTCTCTGAAAATCTGAACTCTGAACTTGTGCGTGCAGGGCTGCAGGCCAGCTGCTTCAGTACTTCAGTCTGACGGAGAAGGGAGGCCAATCTATGGCGATTTGGGCTCTTTTCGGCCCAATTAGAAGCCTTTTACGAATTACGGCCCAAAGTAATCAACCTCGTCCATTGCTACGGCCCAATTTGAAGTCCTATTTTCGGCCTAATTTGAGTCCTTTACGAATTATGGCCCAAATCAACCAGCCTCAGTTACTCCGGCCCAATTTGAAGTCCATTACAAATTACGGCCCAGATAATAAACATCATGCATTGCTCCGGCCCAATTTAGGCCTGACGAAAAAGAAACAGAGCCCATTTGTTTTGTTTTGCTTTTTTGAAAATTTGGTAGTCTATATCAGTAGCTGCTACTTGCAACCAAGTTGATGAGTGCACGTAATTGTCTCGTGTATTTTTTAATCACTTGACCATGACTCGATGCTTTGGTAGATTTAATTTGATGCTAGCCACGTTGGATTTACATTATAATATTCGATTAATTCTTGATGCCATGACTTGGATGCTAGTCTTCCAAGTAGTTTTTTTTTAATTATTAATTCCAGTTTACTTGATCTTATCCACAGTGTCTGTCGAGAGTTCAGAGTCATTGTTTATTTCATTTTCGATCAGATCACAGTGTCCATTTGATAATTTGATGTGTGAACAGAAACCTATCGCCCCAGGAATCAAGACACATGTATTTTTGTGTCTTTTTAATGTGACTAATCTTTCGTCCAAAAAAAGAAAGAGTGACTAATCTCTAATCAATCATGCACCGACACACCTGCTGGTCCTGCTCCATCCATTCTCTGCAAGTCTGCACTAATCACACTTTCAAGGCCTAATAATTATAGCAACTTGCATGGCATATCCCTGATATTCTTTTAAGATGAAAAATACCAGTTTGTTAGTTGGTGTATTAGTTATCAACCACAACTAAAACTTAAATGTTAAAACTTAATTTTAGATTTGATTTTAGGCTTCTTTCTACCTTGGTTTTTCATCCATAATAAGTTTAGTATTTCTTACGGCGTTACCAGCTCAACCAATGCTGTCGGGATTGTTTGTAGTACTGCACTTGTAGTAGCTGCCATTGACATGTGGAACCGGATCTATTTGTCAGCCACTGCTACTGCAAATACAGTACTGCAGAGGATTCATGTCCCATTAACTCTACTACTCCCTCCCTCTCATTTTAAATGTATTTGTGGTTTGTATATCCAACATTTAATTAACATCTTATTTAATTTTTTTATAATTAGTATTTTTATTGATATTAGATAATAAAAACATGAATAATAATACTTATAGGTGTGGTTTATTATTTTTATTAATTTTATAAATTTTAAAATGAGATGGACGGTAAAATAAGTTGGACACATAAACCACAAATGCACTTATAAACAGAGGGGGAGTAATAGCATCGGAAGTATCAATGTAGCGGGAAAAACGCATAAATTTGGTCAATGGACATTCATGAACATTGAATACATTACACAAAAGGAAAAAAAAAACTGAATACTGGTAGCTCATAAATACGCACGAGCAAACAATGGGAAGGAAACAAATTTGCAAAATCCAAACAGGACCAGCAACTGCAACACAACACAAGACTGCGATTTCTGCAAAGCAGTTAAGCAGAGCAGGGGAAAAAAAACAAAAGAAGAAAAAAAAAAGAATCTACCCCTCATATTCCTCCTCGCCTAGTCCACAGAGAGGGCGAACCGAAACATCCCTGGACCTATCCTTGGTGGACCGCGTGATGACGTCAGCAGCGGCTCG